GTGCCCTTGTTTTTAAATAGACAAATAAAAACACATAAAAATACTGCACTGCAACTCATGTTCTTCCTATCACAAGGACAGTCAATACAGAAGACCAGTAACTGCAATCTGCAAATGATTAGTACTCAATTAAAATTATATTAATGGCCCAGTCCTACCTCCAGACGGGTATGTGCATAAGGGCTGGATCCATACTGCGCTGATCTGTTTGTGTACAGACATTGATCAAAGCACACATTGACCGGAGACATATGGCGGTCACTGAAAAATAATCTTGCCATATCTGTGTAATAAGGCACTAATTTCCTATATTCGTCAGTAATGCTCTTTCTTTAAAGGCCCATATTACTCTATTTTCTGATTTGTTATAATGTTGTTTCCTCACCACCAATACACCTGGAGTTTTGTTTCATCCACACATGTTTAACACACAAACCCTGCATATTTATTAGACTTCGTTCTTCTCTCAAACAGAAAACACACTGTACCACCTTGTGATGTCATGTGGTAATACAGGAAGTGCTCCAGTGTGCTTTTAAACTTCATACACCTTCACTACAATCATTTGGATAATTTCAGCCCTGGAATTGCCCATCTTCATGACATCACAAGGTGGAATAGAGCATTTTGAGCTTTGGAGAAGTAGACAGATTACTAATGAAGGATTACTCACTCATGGTGTAAATGAAACAAAACACAACTTTGAGTATGTTTTTGATGAGGTAACAATATTATAACATCACTTTAACCTCACAAGAATCAGTTATTTAATTTAATTTTTAATTTGTTTAATATAGGACCTTTAATTCAAAAGCTTTATTTGTTTATCTTCATCCCAATTTCAACAGGGCATCGTTGATTTGCTCTCAAAACATGCAGGTCAAGACACCCTCAGACTCGAGACAAATTAATGGCCTCTGGCAGGGTAACCTTTGACCTTTCGGGGACTGTAGCAAAAGCTGAAAAATCTCAAAAATCTACACAACAAACATCTGCAAGTCTCAGTGTTTCTGTGAGGAATATAAATACAGTGAAAAGTCACAGGCACGCTGCTGCTACATGCGTCACTGACATGTCCAAGACAGTGTTGGTTCAATAAATGATTGTGTTTAGAATACAGGACAACTTTCAACGACCATGAAAAACTGATTGCACCTTCCTCCAACAACACACACACAAAATATACAACTATTTACAACTGTGAACATTCCCCCTCAACTGAGATGTCTTTGATCTATGACAATATATGCACTGGTCATTAGAGTATCAAGAGGAACATATCATTATTTCATGATACCCATTATTGTGCAGGATAAGAGGTGAGGTAGTATCAAATTCCTGATGATATTGTCAATGTTGTTTTGAAGAAATGCGAAATTTGAGCAGGTATGTAATAAAATAAAACTCAAAATGGCAAAAAGCAGATTAACGTAAAAACTGGAAAAGAGTCATGTTGTTATCATTTGAAATAAGTGATAAAGTGCTTTCGTGGGTCATTTCACAATCCTTTAAACATACTTTAAGAGACCTATTATACAAAATGTACTATTTAGAGCTTTAAACTATGCTACAATTGTTTTTCCTTCCACATTTATCCATTCAAAGTTGTATTTAGTGATTTGTGCATGTTTGAGTCATCTTTAGTCTGTATTCAAGTGGGCCTGTCATGATAATTACTATATCGACTTATTGTTCAATATAAGCTAGAACAATATATTTTGGGGATCAGTATATATTGTGTGTACATTTTCTTTGCAGAACTGGGAATGTTTTGCTTATTTTTTGGCTATATCATAAGATTTAAGGCATAAAAGTTTGAATTAATAATTTCTATGACTGCAGATGCAAAGAGATTACAGATGAAATATAAATATAATATTGTAGATTTAGAATAGTTTTATGGTTTAAATCTGCTTTTGGGTTATTGTGTCAGTGGCATAGATAAGTTTCAATATTATCGTTTATCATATTTACTTATTAAAATGTATCACACTTCAAAATTTGTTCTCTGTTATCATGACAGGCCTACATTCAAAACATTATTACTGCAATCTATCCCATTTCTCACCACAACTGATACAGGTAAACTTCTCTTTACTTCGTTCTCCAATTTTATTTTCTTAATTGGTGATACACATAGGATTCTGTAGCGTTGTGTATCCATATCTGATTAGATTTTACATTTTTGTCATCGCAGCTAAAGAAAATAAAGAGCAGGGACTGAATTTATCAAGGTTTAGTTAATTAAATTGTAATACTCAGACAAATGGGTCAGCTTTAGTGATGGGTCCCTTGTCTGCAGTCATTACAGACAGGGGGAGAACGCTCTGACTTTTGAGGTAATACTTGATGTGAATCTATTAAAATGGTCTGGCTGTCTATCTGTCTGATTAGTACAGTGTCAGAATCTCAATGATGGCTTACAACACAGTGTTATAAATAAGTAACAAGAAGATCGAATAGCATTATCAATTCAATGTTCAAACTCTGCTCTAAGCATGTCGATTGCTCATCGTGACTGTAAGCCCCTTATGAAGTCTGCTGTATCAACAAAAAATATATAAATAAATAACCATTGTATTTCTATTCAAATCAGATGCAAACACGGGATTTGTGCGTGACGGAAAACACAAATCGCATTACTCATCTAATGTATACAGCCTGCAGCTACACTGATGTTTCAAGTCAGTAAAGTCAAATAGTTGTATGTGACATATAGAGCTGTGCCAATTGTATTCAAATTGAGGTCCGGTTGTTTAACTATCAGTAAAAGCATGTGGTTTGGAGCAGAGTTCAGATTCAGATTTTGGAGGAAGAAATTGGACTATGCCTTCTTTACATCCATGAAATCAAGATCAGAAGACATATTTATTTGCAAAATCTAATCGGAAATAAATCATGAGAAAAGAATTATACATGTTTCTGCTCAGTCCTATTACTTTACAACTTTATTGTTATGTGCCAGCTATACAGTTTCCAACTTTCCCCTGTTTTCCCAGGTAAGATGCAAATGCCAGCAATAAACAGCACTAAAATGTACATTATGTAAATTACAAGCCTCAATAAGGATGGCTTTTATTAAAAACTATTACATTTGTCCAAGGGTTGCAGTGTCAGGCTGAAAGTCAAAATCTCCTCCAACTGAGCAACTTGACCGCTGCATATAAGGGCAAGAGGACATTTAGTTTATTCATACAAATCTTAGCATCCAACAAAGAAGAAAGTGTAATGGCTAAAATGCATTAGTGGATTTGTGTAGTAGACTACATTCTGAACAATGTCTCCAAATCAATATTGTGCGTTTGTAAAAGCTGCCTATGTGGTGGCTCTGTGCTGACCAGGAAAATCAAATCTGCAGCTATACCATTACAAAAGAGTGGCTGCATGTCTGGACCCTGAAGCACGACACAACTTATATTATTACGACTTCTTTTAGAGTGAAAGGGGCCACGAGAAGGGGAAAAGGACAAAGGAGGAATGCTTTTTTGGAAATTAGGTTTAATGCCACCATCGAACCTTTGACATGGATTTCACTCTTCAGTCTGGCAAGTTACACATACATTACAGGATAAACTGCTCTTTGTTCACATCAGACTACAGACAATTTTCAAATGGCAATGGCACTATAGCACAACAACTGATGGAAAATATAGAGGAAAAACAATCTCTGAAATGCAAAACCCAACATGACAATGGGAGAATTCAAAGTGATGTGTGTCGTGTCACTCTCCTTTGCACCAAGGCTTTTTGTGATTTGTGAATATAGTATTTTGAATGTCAGCAATAATTACATGATAGCGCCTATAGGAAAAGCAGCAGCACTGCAAGGGAAATATTCACATAAAGCAATGTGTGATAGATAAGCTCTCCTTTCACTTCTTTTGACTGATGTATATAGTCTGTACAATGTCTATGAGCAAAAGTTATGAAAATAAATTTGCTGTATGACATGTAGTCTTAGATTAGATAGACATTCTATTTTTAAAGATCCTAATGGATTCTTGTGAGCATTTAGCAGTGTTAGTATGTTGCTTATGAGGTTGTGTTTTGTTTCAATCACACATGTCTGAGTAACTCTTTATTATTAGTCTGTCTATTTCTCCAATGCTCAAAATGCTCTGTTTCACCTTGTGATGTCACGTAGTGGTATTTTTCTAGTTAACAGCTACTTTTAACCTTTTGTTCAGTAGAGATTAGTCATTCCTGGCTTCAAATCATCAAATTGATTCTAGTGAAGGTTTATGAAGTTTAAAAATGCAATGGAGCACTTCCTGTAATATGACATGACATCACAAGGTGGAAAAGGCTGTTTTTAGTTTGAGAGAAGAGCTCGGTGTAAAAATGCAGGGCTTGTGTGTTAAACATATGTGAATGAAAAAAAACACAACTCCAGTTATGTTTGTGATGAGGAAACAACATTATAATAGAGATAAGTGCGACAAGAAGTCTATATGCTCCATAAAGTAAAACAGAGTTCCATCACTGTTATTGCCACAGGTGAAGGTTACCACAGCAAAAGTAGTCTGTATTCATTAGTGAAATACAGTCCATAACAAGAATACTTATATCTGATATTGGAGTTTTCGTTTAACCCGTTCAGTTGCATTCTCTGTTTTGTGTAATATTTGGTTATTGCTCCCAGCGCGTTTATTTCAAACTTTCAAAAGACCATCAAAATGTACGGTTTAACCACGGACACTCAGTCACAGCACCCCTAGATAAACTGTGCTGACTTAAATATTGTAAAATGTAAGACATATAATTTTGGTTACTTGCAGGGACATCGGCAAGGGCACACGCTGCAGGTGCACTATGAAAAAGCGAGCGACTCAGTGCACACACTGGACACAACAACGAAGGCGTAGAGACGTGTGACTGATTACAGTAATAGAAAATTGATGGAAAAGTCACCAAACTCTAGCCTATAACAGTTTAATACAAGTCTACAAGTCTGCTATCCTAAACAAAAACGGAGCAAGCGCGTGTAAAATAAGTCTTACCTAATGTCCAAACGTCCTCTTGACACCACGCTGCCCGCGTCTCATCTCTGCGTCCCGGACCACAGCAGGTACGGGGTCCAGGTGTATCCGCGACTCTGCAAAACTCCGCCAAAATAACGACAAAAGTAAAAGGTCGATTGAAAAGTTATAGACGTCTTAAGTTTTATTCGGGTCTCGTGTCACTTTTATTTGCGTTTAGATGCGCATCTTTTCTATTCAGTGCAATGAGTGGACTGAGAGAGAGCCTGAAAACAGAAGCGCTCCACTCGCCTCCACTGTCACGTTAGAGATGACGCACAGATATACTTCCTGTTGTGGATTTACAAAATAAAACCAAAGAGTGAGAGGCAACTTTTATATGATTTTTACTTACACAACTTTATCATTAAGCAAAAATATTTGTGTTTGGGTAAAATAGTTTAGACTTTTGGAATCATTATCTGAGTGTTTACTCCTTACACATTTACAAATTTAGGTTGTATTTTATGTATTTATAGGCAAATGCATGTACGTAGCCTATGTGTATTTATCTACAAAAGTTGATTGTACTTGTTTAGTTCTACCAAAGATAAAACTAAACCTATTTACACTGTTTCAAGTACAGTCCTAAAAAAACATCATCCAACTGTGATGTTGGCGTTTGCCTGTGTGGTTTTATTTTAGAGTATCATTTCCGGTTAAATTCTGGGCAATTTCACAAAAATCAAAGCAATCAATGGCCTAATCCATTTGTTATAGTTTGCTGTGCTTTGTTGTGTGCAGTTTTCAGAAATTTGGTGTCATGAGTTGTACACCCCACAGAGACTGATGTTTGCTTGGTTTGTATCACATATACCATTATTGTTTTAGCTCATGATTCTACTCAAGGGGTCAACAAAAAAGTATGATTTGGGCTATGATTAGGAAACCCATGACGTTCAAGTGGGCATACTGGATTTGAACATTAAATATTTCAAGGTCACATAAAACTATTGACACATCTGCAGTGGTCGGTGAATTACTCTAAATCTATGTACATAATATTAAAGTCTCAATTTAAAAAGGTACTTTAGAGTAAAAAGTAAGTAAGTAAGTATTTTGCAGAGATTTTTTTTAAACAATTAAAGTATCAAATGTGGTAATTTAATAGTTTACTTGATTCAACTGATTTCTTAATTTTTCTAGCTGTCTTTGAGTTTTTGTGTAGGCCTGTTTGGTTTGCTTAAAGCTGGGAGGTTAACTCAAATGAAAGGTGCTAAAAATAAGTTTCTGCCATTTCTGTCTTTATTTTTTTGCCATAAAGAAAAGTACTTTTTACTTTTCAGTCCAGATCTAAAATATAGTGGAGTAGAAAGTACAGATGCATGCTCTCAAATGTAGTGAAGTAAAAGTAAAAAATGTCCACTGTAAAATGGACTTAAAAGTACAGATACCTAAAATTTTACTGAAGTATTGTACTTTTACTTTTGTACTTCAGTACCTTCCACCGCTGCAGATATGCCATATTATATGATCAAATTGTATGATCAAAAGAGGTAACTGAAGCCAGTCCTTAACTATCAAATTAATAGAAATCTTCTTTCATAATCACATGGTCGTGATTGAAAAGGCGTTTACTGCGGCAGGCGATTTGACAGACAGTGATCTAAAGCCACGCGTCCCCTGATGGCCCTAGAAAACCTATTAATCTCTCTTCACAAGATATAATCTGGGGCTGAATGTTGCAGTATCTTAGTGTTATTGTCTTTTCCCCTCCTTTCCCCACGCACCTCCTGCAAGTCAGTATCAAAATGCAATTCAATATCCATATGACCTTGGACCTCGAGCTGTCAAAGGCTCATCGTGGGCAGTGCAAAGCAGATCTCTGTAAGACGTGCAAAAACACGCCCGCATATTACACATGATATGAACCATGCAACCACACAGTACCCACATGTATTCAAGCACAGTCAGCACCTTTGGCTTTATGTAACCACAAGATTTTCTATCAGTGGATGCGGGTGTCACCAGTCAGATTTTCTTACATTAGAAGTTGAGCATAGACTGATGTTTTAAAAGTTAACATTCGCTTATATGAGTAATTTTTAGCTCAGTTGAAAGATAATCAGTACTATTGCTAAAATACAACACCTGTTTTGTTTATGTTTGGCCTTAATTATAATTTTGTGAGAGTAGGTCTATTTCACATGCTTGTTGCCATGGAGATGTTGTTGTTTTCCCCAGATCGTTCCTCAACATGCACGATGTAACTTTTCTGGGGGAAGGGTGTCACATAGACATGTGATTGCTTTGCCTGTAATGTGCAGTGCAGAATTTGGTTAATTACAGGTGGTTGTAGTGACCAAAACAAACAACAACAAAAAAACCAAAACATACATTTTTACTGTGAGTGGGCTCGCCTCTCCACAGATATGACCTATAAATGTGCCTTTTGGTGGTGGCAACTGCTTGTCTCCATGGAGAATTATTAATGCCATACTGTGATATATTTCAGGCACAGTAAGACAAGCAGGTGGTGTAACCTCCACTGAATCCTCCTTATCATATTTATTTGCCTGGACACTATCTCGTTCTCATCTCACTCACATTTTGAGGCTGTGAGTGACACTTCTCATTAACTTTTACACTGCAACAGGTTGTTTCCTCCACAGTAATAACTCGACTCCAGAGACACATTTGCAGACGAAAGCTTCTGGCAAAAAACTGTAAATATTAAACACGTTGAAACTGAAGGCAGCTGGAAAGTGTTATATTATGTATGAAGTAAGCCTGGAGTCATTCAGAAATGGCTGCCACAGAAAATATGTGAATCAGCAGTCTGGGTAGGTAACGACATGTGGCAAAACAAATGTCACAAATTACCAGTGAAAATCAAAATCTATCTATTTTTTGCATATTTATAGCAACAACATTTTTCTTTTTATGTGCATATTCATGGTTTAAACTCAATATGACTAATAAAGTTAGGTTTATTTTCAAAATGGAACAACAGAGGAGGAGAAACTAATCATCTCCACATGAACCCTCCTGGTTATGACCCTTAGAGGTGGACCCAGGCCTCCTTTAGTTTTGGGGATGAGATACGATAAACCAGCCACCACTGACTATACCAGGGGAGCATGGATAAAGAATCATGAATGAAGATGATTCATTCTTGACGTAAACTTTGAATCTCGTGCTGCTTTAGAGCTGCAGCATCACCCTGACAACAGTTTCACATAAAACTGGAGCTTGAGATCACTGACTTTAAGGTAAAATATGGCACTGTTTCTGACATACAATGATCTAAACACAAACGAAAACTTGTAATAATTATGGAAAAACGTAAAAAGTCTTCATAATTTTAGCTTTAGCAGTAAGGGAAGTACTGTAGTGTTAGTCTCATTTAAGTCATAGAAGGTAGAAGTTTATTGCCTGGCAACTACAAAAAGATATCTCTATATTTTTTTCTACAGATTGATATCAGTCTGGTCCTCTGGCGCATCTCAAGCTCGGTTAAACGTGGAAGGACAATGCCTGTTGCTGATTGGCTAATCCATGTGTCAGTCACACCCATCTGAAAATGAGAGATTTATCAGTGACCAGATCTAACATCTAACATCTCTGTAAAGTATTGAAGAATTATGTATTCTGGATCCCAGAAAAGAAGTGATAATGAACTGTAAAGCACTTTGGGTATCTTGAAAGGCGTTATATAAATACAATGATAAATTTATTTAATCAAGTTCAAGTATCATGACAGTTATGGGTTAGTGACAGGCCACACTGTGAGAGTAGTTTTCTGTAGGCAATTTCAGTGTTAATACTTTTTCAAATTTGGGATGATTTTTCAACATACATTGACATAAATACTGAGCAAGTTTATCAAACTGTGGAACTGGGCAGTGGAATTTGTAAATAAATAGAATTTAAATTGAGCGTTAATCCTGGCACCTGTACGTGGTTCCTGCCCCTGTCACTCCTCATCATGATGGAGGCGGCTAATTACACAGCCTATAGAACATCCATCCTCAGAGCACCACTGTGTTTGGTGAGAGCAGAAGAGAGAGGGGGAGAGGGAGGTCAACAGGGAGGGTCATAAAGCACCAATGGCGTTTATTTATTTCCCCATAATGTCCTGTAATGACTCTGCCCACACATTCACAATACAAACCTGTGCAGCCCCACTGTGCAGCCATAGACTTATATTACAGAACTGGATAATTGGGTACCTGGATTTAGAAACTATTTAGACAAAACACGAAACATAAAATGCACATACCCACATAATGCTTGTGTCTTTTTTACCTGTTCTGTTGCTGCAATATCTGGTACAATTTGTTTATAAAGTTAGTATCTATTAAAGTTACTGGTGACTAGTCAACAAGTCTACAATTATGTAAACATTGCAAAAAATACCTATATATTTTTCTCTCAGTTAAATATTCCTTGCTCATGTCTCAAGTAATTTGTCTGTGCCTCTTCCTTGGAAAAAATATACTAATAGAACAAAAGCAGGAAATAAGGCAATTATTTAATCAAACACAAAACACTTGAGATTGGGCCATGAAATTCTAGTATTTAATATAATTGTGGAGTCTGCCTCTGCCTCCAAATGCAGGGCTCTCTACCTTTATGAATTCACATGGAAATGCTATTCTCCTGCTGAATGGGCAATAGACTGTCCCATCTAACCTCATGTAGCGTTCAGGGACACATTAATCTTACATACAAGCTCAAATCTCTTGCCTGAGTCAAAAGTGTTGTAATATCTGCATTTATTAGATGCATTTTTCAATCGAGATTGTAACTCAACATGTTCAACCAGACAGTTTGAGGGGTAATGTTTCTGAATAAAGATGGATAAGGTTTAATGAAACATTTCTTGAAATATCACTTGTCTTGTTAACAGTTCCCAGAGTTTTCTGATTGTGTTTTGATTGTGTTACAGAGACAAAGTAGAGGAAGTAACTTTTAGACTAGTTTTTGTAGGTCTTTTTTTTTTAGTTAATCCATAATAGTGTTTTGAAGTCATGACCTCACATTTTTGGCCACTTTTCATTGCAGGTAAGAATTAGAAGGACAAAGGAAAATGGTTAAAATTGGGTGTTGAAAAAAACAGCTATAACTTAATTGATGAAATACATTTTCATTCAGAAGTAATTCATATTTTGTCACACATTAATTTTGATTGCTCAAGTTGTTATTTTAAACAATAGTCTTAATCTACATTTTCCATATGCCCCTTGTGCAGTGCGACTAACCAAACTGCTAATTACGAAATTAAAACGAATGCAGCCTTCATTAGGTCTTGTATCAGCAGACGCCCGACGCACCATAACCTCAGTGATTGTTGTAAGAGCCATCATTATGTTCAGCAGCCACACTCCAGTCGTTCTTTGCATGAGCATGTCATGAGTGCAAAAGGCATCTTCATTGAAAGCTCCAGCTGTATTGTGTCCATTGTAGTCAGCTGATCACTCCTGGGTCTTGCTCTCTCCCCATCAGGTGAATCTTGACCTTACATTACTTATATTTACATGGTAAATCTATAGCGCTTTTTCCACCTTCAAGGTGCTCAAAGCACTTTACAACAAGGAACCACTCACCCATTCACATGCACATTCATACACCAGTGTACGCAGACACTGTGGGCAAGTGTCTTGCCCAAGGACACAACAACAGCATTCATCTGTGGGAGCTGGAATCACACCAGCCAACCTGTGGGTCAGTGGATCTGACCGCTCAACCTGAGATGTTTATGTAGAGAGAGCTGGATTCGAACCGCCAACCTTCAGATCAGTGGGCGAATGTTCTACCAACTGAGCTACTGCCGCCCCATACATTGCTCACTTACAGATTTCAACAGCTCCGAAATCCATAGTTTGTACTTATGCGCTACTGTTCCAACTATTTTTGCCCAGTGCATGACACAAGCTTCCCTTTCAAAATGGTCAGATATTGGAAATTCAGGAATTGGAGAATATGGACCATCAACAGAGTCAGGGGAGCCTTTTCCTTTACACAAACCTGAGACTCACTTCTTCTGAGACCATCACAGGGGGGCAGTCATGTTCAGTTTGATGATCTGTGCCTGTCATGTACAAATGATAAGAGAGCATCACACTGTTGTTGACAGGTTAAACTGGCAACTCATAAATGTGTACATGACTGAAGGCATTGATCAAATAAACTCGATTGTTACTTGTGCTCCCTGTGGAGCCAGAGAGATAACATACCCCAAAATACTATTCAATTAACTATGAATTTATCACAATAATAATAAATGTGTATAATCTGTTTCTATGGGAATTACTACTGTCTAAATAGTCTGTAAAAGTATGATGTATATAAGAAAAGTTTATAGTAAGAAAAAAACACAACTGTAATTGTAAAAACTCTTTTTGCATTAGTAGTTTAATTAAAATTAATTAATGAATTATAAACAGAAAAAAAACAACAACAGGTTGGACAATGACAAACAAGTCAGACTGAGATGACAAGAGAGATTTACGCTATCTCTAGACAGGAGATTGTTACAACACCGCCCTCTTTTGGACAAAATTGAAAAAGCAACAAAAAGAAAATATTGCAAATGCACAAGGATCAGGGTATACAAGACTAAAAAAAGTCATGAGCCTAAAAATGTGCTCATGTAACATTAAAAATTAAGCCTGTTAAACCCTTGCCCTCCAGTGTATTGTTCACATTTTTCATTATAACTCCTGGTTTTAACTCGCGTTCTCAATTTAAGGTTCAGGATTTCATTAAAGTGCCTCGTTGAGCTAAACATCATTGCATTCAGACATGTATTCCCTAGACACAAATACAGAGATGTGGAGAATGTACCGTTTTGTAGTCTATAAGGCATTATACATTCAGCATTTTGGTTTGGTCCTTTTCCATAAATGGTTTTAACATACATTTTAAGCGTAGTCAATTTCTAGTCCATTTGGGCAACAGTAAGAAATATGAACACTTTGATGGAAATGATGACTCAGTATTCATAAATAATGGCTTGTTTTTGTTCTAAGAGTAAGGCCCAATACACTATCAGAGAAGGCTTTAGGTCCATTGTAAATTGCATAACATCAATGGAAAAAAGAACATAAAAATGTTATTTAAACAATATCACAGTATTCATTGTAATTGGGAAACAATATCCATATCAATATCAATTTAATTGAAATTGAATAATATTATTAATAATAATAATGGATTCTTATATTTCTCAATTAAGACTGCAACATACTTTAAATTTATGTCAATTTACTTGTTGGCAAGTGTAGCATTCAAATCTAAATGAATCTCAATATTTTTATGGTGTTCAATCATATAGTAACATTTTATTAAACTAATATCTGGACATTAAATACAATTCTGTTAAGAGAAAAATATTATGCTCTAAATTTGTCATTTTTAACTTTTCATTTCATTCATACCTTGGATATAGTAAATAACTAAACATCAGCAGTCATTTTGTAAATCACTAAAAACAATTATTAATAGTCTAATACTTTTTATAATGTGGTACGATCCTATCTGCAAATATGCTTTGAAGTATGAAATTTAACTGGACCTCTACAAAGATTTAACTAAACATATCTCATGTCTCATTTTGTCTCATGTCAAGCAAGGCATTTGATTATTTACATTTTAAAAACTGATCTTAGTTAATAATCTCACATTTTTTGCATTAGTAGTGAGTTAGAGGTAGAGAAGAAGGAGGTAAGTACATATCTTTCTATCCCTGTGTCTAATGCGATGTTAGATGGATGCCGTTTCTTTAGGAAATGATCCGAATGCCAAAGTGGTTCTTTAGTTGCTCCAGGAAGATGAAGGTGAGCACTGTGTGAGGAATCAGACGGATCCCGGCAGGAACAAGACCCTAGGACAAAACACCCATACTATAAGAATTACTTTACCACATAAATATAACAAACATTATTAAACCCATCCTACAGACAGGCAAGCAGAAAGCACTAAATGAGATAAACTAGCAGTTCCAAACTACAAAGCAAAACATTCACTATTAATAATTTATTAATATTACAGAATCAGATAAAGTTTTAGGGCCACTGTAAGAAAGCAAAATTCACATCTAGGAATTTGCTTTGGTGATATGGTGCAACATAAAACTGAATAATAATAGTAGAAGCAGTTACTAAATCTCAAACATCATAAGCCGGTACACTTATACTTGACATGGACCAGTAAATTGTACACGAAAGTATTATTTCACAACAAAAATACTGCTAACCTACAACTATTCAAAGGATAACCAATGGCTGCATCTAAACACATAAAGACAAACAAACAACCACAAGTTCAAAACCTAACCTTATAAAATGCCAAAGGACCCAGCTTAGCAGTTTCTCGTAAGCAATGAATTACTCCCTGAAAAACAACATTATTTTCATTTAATTGCAATCATTCCATTCAAAAAAAGTGTTGTATAATTAAAAAATTAACTCACCGTGTACTCTCCCTTTGAGTTCATGAGCCTCGTCTTCACTACGTCTAAAGGTTGACACAAGAAGGTAGCACAGCCACCCTGCAAATGAACAGGAGTTACATGGTGGGCATAGACCAAGACCAGACTAGAGCTCTGATCCAGGACCAAGAAATATACCTATTTAAATCAAGACTGAAAAAATAAGACAACTCCAGAATACACTATGGTTTAAAAAGTGTTTTAAAAAGAAATTAAATCAGGACTAAATCAGGATAAAATTCGGAGTAAATACGACCATAACCATGACCATGATAACCCAGGAATAATCCAAGAATAAACCAGGACTGCACCGGGACTAAACTTTCATGATAATAATGTAAAGAGTTGCTCCCCTGGGTTCATACTCACAGCAATGAAACTGGAGAGGAAATGCGTGAGGATGTTGTCTCCCATCAGTCCAGTGCCCAGAACCAGCTGTTTAGCCTGGTCATAACACGCTAGCTAAACAAAGCAAACAAGACTGAATTGAAAACTACTGAAAGCTGAGAAAATACTTGTGCAAAATTCATAAAAAAATGCAAACTCTCCTTGCTCTTAAATTGTGAATGTACATCTCTAATTTTGGTCAGACAAGACTACTACTACAAAGCTTTAAATATGCTTTTTCCTTCTTCAGATGTTAACTATGTAAAATGTGTCAGGCAGGAGCATAATTCTTTCATGCATGATTTATCACATTTCAAGTGGAACAGCCTAAAATGTATTTAGATTCAGAGTGACTAAAGCACACACAGCCATTAAAAGCTCTACAGCCAGGCCTTAGTATGGTGTGTACGTAAATTAGTTTAAGATTATACATATATAGAAAATGTTTTGACTATGGGAAATAATAAACCACATTACAACTAAACTAAATAAAAAGCTTAAAGTTGGTTATGAGCAAGTTAATGATTTGTATAATACACAACTTTAAAATGTAAATAGCATAATTCTATATAGGTTTTACATCAGATGCCCTTCCAGATAAAATCCTCCCCATATATATACGCTTTTGACTGGCAGTAAGAGTTGTTGGATTTGAGACATAATGCAAAATATACCGTATTAAGTTGAAGTTTCTCTTGTCGGTGATAGAATTTTCTGTGTAACTCACCTGTCCCACAGTGACCATAGCTCCTCGACTGGATGCCATTGTGGCTCCGGAAAACAGTTTTTTTAATCCCTCTGTAAATTAAAGTGATGCATAACCAGAATTAAGAAATTCTGAATTGATTTTTGCTGTGTACACTCTTACCCTCTCTGAAGACTCTCACAAGACCATCAATGGCGTGTTTATAACTTAAAAGAACAAAGGAAAGGGAGTGGTTGAGGACACGAAAAATACTAAAATACCTGGTCAAGTGAAAATTCCTTAAATTTAGATTTAGATAAACTTTATTGATTCATATGGGAAAATGGGGACAAATGGGAATGGGACACCATAATAAAAAATATATTTTCAAGTTTCAAATTCACTCATGTGAGATTTTTTACATTTCTTATTAAAATGTGCTTTAAAAACTCACTTTCTCCTCAGTTCTGGAGCTAGTTTCATGTCATTCTGCATCCTAGACACAAGGTGCATATATATGTTAAATATGCATTACATGGTGAACACACAAGCTGTTTAACCTTATTGATCATTACCTGACATTCACCATATCTGAAGGAGTGCCTATAAAGCCACCAGTAAAACCTGTTGATAAAGTCATGTTTTTGAGTATTAAAAGGTAACATACAAGTAAAAATTCCTGTATTATGATGATGTAACATTTGCGAGTTCCCACCTCCAAAAGCCCCTAGCAGGACCTTCTGGTAAAATGGCATGGGGCCTTTATTTGTATTGCCCATCACGTCCCGAACTGTCTCATAGATGGCGAATCTGGTCAGTGAGTATGACATCTGAGCAAATATTTTAAAAATTGTTACACTTTCAACCACTAGAGGGAGCCCACAGACAAACTCTCAAATCAGATATGGCCTTGAAAGAATGTTGGACTTTTACTCCAGTTAGTTAGTAAGAGATTACAAGGCGATTTCAATTGTGCCTTTGTTGCCATCTAAACATGCACTCATTATATCACTGTCATTCTTGTAAACTAAAAGCTTCCGGTGTTTTGATAAAAGGTCAAATAAGGTCACTTTTTATTTTACTCAAACCCATTTGTAATAAGTTAAATAGACAGCATAGATATTTAAAGATATTTCTATACCTGTCTGCAAAGAGAAGCAGAGAGCCCATTGTACAGCGCCAGTACACCATCATTTCTGACCACATGGACGGCCATCCCCAACATCCTTTTCTTCACCTCCTGTTGGGTCTGCAGGTGCACCTGCAAAAACATTACAGGCAATGTCAAATTTACAAGTTACACAACACTCATTATTGACAAACAACATTTGTTGTGGATGTGTAATTGAAAATCATTGTGCTTTATTTGGCTCTGACCTAAATCTAGGCCCTAAGATCGCAGTGAAAGCATTAATTATGGCACTTGTTGCTAGCAACAATTGAGTTCTCTTCAGCCAAATAACAGATCTGTCCATGCATGTTTTTCAAGATATTTATGAACAATAAATCGCTTGTTATCAAATAAATGCAAAATAGATATCTTTAATGCCATAATGTGACCTTCAAACCAAAGCAATAATATCTTGATGCTAAAATCAGATGATGTTACAGTGTGAGTCTTTTAAATACATTTAGAAAATAGAAATTTGAACTACATCAATGAAGATAATTTGCTAAAACATGACTGTTAAAGTGTCTGATGTTTAACTATAGCAGAGAAAGTGAATGGACTGTAAAATAAAAACAATTAATTACAGAAATATCACTTTAAGTACTTATTTGTTGCATGTTATTTATGAAACATTTTAACACACACTAATACTGGTTTTCAGTATAGACAATTACATTGCTTCTGTTTCCCATGAGAATATGGATAGGTCTCAATGATTATAGCTGACTAAAATGAAGCCACTGGTTAGCTCATTGTATAATTATAGGTTTGTCAGAAAAATGTAACTGAATTTCAGTTCAGTGTAAATAGGTCTTTTTTGGATGCAACTATACAGAAATACAGCATGTTTAGAGCCACTGTATTGACACAGTGACCTAAACAGTTAACAAGGTAATTGGAAGGGCAAATCCTTTAAGCTGGACTCTCTTAAAGCTGAGATACTGGAGACTCACCACTCACAAATACTGGATAAAAGACAACACACGTGCTTTCAAGTTACTGACTGGCACATTTTAATGTCAATTTGCTAAACCACAGACATTTAAATAACAAACTGAAAGCATGGTCTAATTCAAAGCATATTTGTTTTTGTATGACTCACTGGGAGGTGGTACCGCCTGAAAGTTGTCTGACATTGAAGCTACTAATTTGGACAGTATACAAAACAGTATCTGTCAAGTAACAATGATGCAGCAATTCTGAACGCCAGTATTGGAGGGGTGATTTGTGATCCAAGTGCTTTTTATATTAAGGTGTTCTATGAGACAATAACACACTTTAATAATGAATACAACAGTACTTCTGCTTTAGTTTGGTTGGCAGGCTGAGGCAACCACAAGCTTGTTATTAACCTAACTTAGCCGGTCCATACGATGCACGTGACTTACTGGACTTTACGGTTATTTAAATCATGTGCAGCTGAGTTAAACTTGATCAAGGCATCCAAAATGTCACTGTGCAGTCTACTGCAGGCTATGATGAACAAGTCACAGCATGCACCGTATTGAGCATTCTAATAGCCATTAAGACCTACAACAAATTATGGCAGGGTAGGCTATAGACTGTTGAGGGATTAATTGCGCATGCATGTTTCTACAAGACCTGTCCTGTCCCCTGACTTTTCATTGAAATGTGGCCTGCTCCAGTGGCCTGTGGCTCTGAGTTCACCTCTGTGTTACTGACACTATAACACGATGACTCGAGCAGCAGCCACTGAGCCACAGCTGTATTCATACCATCCACTACTGGATTTTACCTTGATTAGATCCAGCGGGTGCGTGCAACATGCGGCTCCACAAGAAGCCAGCCCTCCGAAGTACCACCGTGAGATCCTCTTCTCTGCCATGGCTCTGTCCACCCGACGATCTGATGCACCACCAACAATGTCCAGCCGCCGTAGTGTGCCCTGTTCTGGCCTCTGGCCTGTGGTCTGGTCCGGTCTGTGCACGGTGCTGCCAAGCTCGTTAATCTTCAAACATTTCGATAAGAGAAAGTGTCTCGGACTGGGGACTTTGGGCTCCAGTAGCAGCGCGCACGCTCAGGCCACATAAGTGCACGGAGAGGTGGTGGACGTGTGCAGTGGAAGCAGCGGCAAACTGAGGCGATGAAAACAGCCAATTGGCACAAGGGAGATCGGATCTGCCTACCCGCCCCGGGGAGGAGAAGCAAAGGTCGGTAGCGGACTGCGAGAACCTACAAACCCCGAAAAGAAACGCACATTTTCACTACAGGAACTGTCATGCTGATTTTTAAAGCGGTATCGCCTTTATGACATGCCTTACTGTGTATTGAAAGCTCCTGTCCCTTTAAGACTGCTTTAGACTACATTCTTTTACAGCCTGTTCGCCATTGTTCCGTAATTTCTTTGGTTTAGCAAGCAAAGTAAAACGTTTTGAAACCATATACACAGCTATTGTCCTATAGAAGTAAAACGGGGATTGACTGATTGAGCGCCAAAGAAAATAGATGAGATAGGAAATGTGGATGCTGTCTGTATGGCGCCATCGGGTGGTGAGGTGATTTTCCTCTTTATTGTGCTCTCACATTAGACTGGTCCTCGTTGGTTAAAGCCCCTCCTCTCCAGTAGAGGGCCGCTCCTCTCTGGCAGAGTGGATGGTGCATGTGAGAGGCGCATGTTCAGCTTGTGCATTTTCTCATGGGTCTTCAGCTCAGGTGATTTTGGCTTTTGCCTAGCTATTCTTTGTGTTTAATAATCTTTGCCAGCGCTACGGACTCAGTTTGGGCTGGACTAACAATTTGTGAAATGACTAATGAGGACGATCATTTCCATTTTATCTTTGAAAATACAAAACCAAAAGTCATTCTTTTTCTATTGTACTGTAGATATCAAAGTTATTCATGACAAATTCACATTTCTCTTTTTGTGGGTCAACTTGCTATATGCTTTCGCCAGAAACACTAAAACTGTCTAATCAAGCTGTAGCTTAGACAATTTGGGGTTTGAAAGATCAAATTCCACTAAACCTTTAAGCCTAGATGCATAGACCCATGAACCACCAAATGCACAAAAAAATAAAGTGTTCAGTTTCCGCATGAACTGACCCCTGACACTTATGCTGATAAAACCCCTGTGTGTTTCTGTAATTTGCAGCAGCTGACAGGATGGAGAGACACTAGTGAGTGTTTCCTTTTTTCAGACACGACACTTTCATCATCAGAACTTTAGCCTACTCAGCAGACTGGCCTGTATTTTTCTTATTATCGGTCTATATCAAGGTTTTATGTATAATAATAGTTTTTGCAGTTTAAAACACTTTTTGTTTTATGATGGCCAATTTCAAATATTGGCAACGAATTTTGATAGTATAGCCCTAACTATTGGGCCAAGTAGGACTTGTGACAGACTCACAGTCTACTTAAATGTGTACTAAAATTAATGAATAAGGCCTACATTTTATGTTATTGTTACCACGTATTGTCATTCTGGAAAAGCCAGGTACTGCAGTATTCTCTGTAATTTCTTTTGCAAAGCAGTTATTGCTACTGTGTTACGTTGTTTGTTTGTGTCGCCCTCTAGTGGAAAAGACAATATAGTACTCATCTATGATGTGTCCACGTGTTGGGTTATAACAATTGTCAATAGATTGTAAGAGAATGTTAAACAGAAATGTATTTATTTATTTTTATTAAAATCGACTCTAATCATCGAGAAAATACATTTGTTGGCATATCACTGTAAACCCATAATCACTTAGTTGTCTACAGTACTGTCTTCAGGATCAGGACCTTATAGAGTTCAGTTTCATTTCTTTCACTCAAGACTTGCTCTGACCAGTTCAGTGCAGCAGAGGGCAGCAGATGCCCAAATCATCATGTTTAACGTAAGAATATAGCTTCAAAGCTCCAAAATTATTTCCATTTAAATACATTTTTAAGTTAAAATACTGTTCTCTAGGTGTCTTAAACTCATTTCAACTATGCCCAACGCTGCAGGGGATGCACCATTTAATATAATAAAGTATCTACTACTGTTTAAATAATTGGAATCAAAACAAAGAAGAGGTTAGCTGGTAGTAAACAAGCATCAGATTGAGTGCCCACTGCGTGTCATGTGACCACGGCAGTTCTGCCCACTCATACTCACAAATGCAGAGGACTAGAATACAGAAGAATACAGACAATGTTTGTAACACCCGTTAAACATTTCAGATCTGCCCACATCTATTTCAACTCCCACTTTCCACATTATATTCCCCACATGGTATTTGAAATGAAATAATAACAAAGGTTGGGTTGATTATGAAACATGCTATACACCTAAGAAAAGGCGCTCTCAAACAATGTATTTAACTGACTCAAGTTAATCACTTTTCAAATATTGTTATTCTTTTAAATTTGCTATATCTAATATACTATATGCCAAAATGCAGTGTGACTCAGCATGTGAAAGAATTAAATTTGACCATTTGTGAAATGTCTCTCCATATCCTGCTGCACCGTCCTGTAGACGAGTAAACCTCAAACCACACAAGGACCTGTAGTATACTGTTTCACACTTAAATAACAGTCCCTGGACTATAGATGTCCAGTTCTTTTAGGAGAAAATACTCATACAAAGGATTTCTCTGGCTGTTTGACTTCTGGTGCCTTTGGGTTGTCCTTTACTGGTGCTGTGATAATCGGCTTCACTCTGGATATGGGGGGGCTCGAGCCATGCTGCAGCAGAAACCCCCCCACTATGAGGAGCACACTGGCACCCCAGCCCAGGTACAGCGCTGGCCCCAATTCCCTTTTCAAAGGTGCCGCTATATTCGGGTCATAGAAGTCCCTGATAATGCCATATGCAGTCCAGCAGATGGGTACAATGTAGATCACACCGGCCAAGAGAAAGAGCACCCCGGCAACACGAGCCACCCGGGTTTTGGAGGATGGGTTGGTTGCGCCCATGCAGTGTGTGCACTTTGCCCCAGCCACTGCAAGCATCAGCGCCAGTACACACAGGAGCAGAGACAGGACAGTGAGGCCCCGAGCAGCCTGGGCAGAGAAGGGCAGAGCCAGTGTTGAATCATATGCCTTACACTGGATTTGGCCCGTGGTCTGGGACAGGCAGTTCATCCAGAGGCCCTCCCACAACACCTGAGCGATCACCAACTCTCCTCCAACAAATGCAGACACACGCCAAAGAGGGGCTGCGCAGACCAACGCCCCAAACACCCAACCCAAGACAGACAGAACTATCCCCACCAGCTGCAGACCTGTGGATGCCATCTTTAAAAAACTCTTCTTAAATACTCAGTTCTATTATATTAATTTAGCAGGTTCCTCTGATGTTTGGTGTTCTCAGAATTTCCTGTAAAATAAAAATCTATTATTAAAATAGTTGATTTATTGATTTGGAGAAGCATCCACAACCAAACTTCATATTGAAAGGTCAAAATTAAAAGTTAGTCTGACAATTAAAAAAAAATTCTGCTCGGTTGTTGAAATAAATGTTATGTTAGTACAATAAAACTCACAATTTGAATGGATTGGGGTCAGGGTACATAGGTGGGGGAAACAAACAAATAAACTTACCTTAAGTAGTTGAAGGTTTAAAATGTGTTGGTCAAGCCGTGTGCAGTGAGTGCTGCAGTGTTGTACAGTGAGCTGGTTGTGTCTGTGTACATCAAAAATGGGCTCGTAGGAGGGCAGTTCAGAGAAAAAATGCACACACCACACAAGCACGCTTTGTTACAGCTGACAGCTGAGTGAGATGACCTAATGATGTTCTCTTTACAGTACTGGTTTAGTCTTTTATTACGGCAGTGGTGTAGTCTATTAGAGCTGGTCACATACTACATCTTTTCTGTGGAGTTCTGTACTGACTGAAGCCATAAGATGACAATATTTCTACAGTTAGCATTTCTTCCCACATCGCATTGAATTGATTCTTTTTACCCAAAATTGTTTTATAGATTTCACGTGGTCTTGAATTTTTAAGCAGTGTATAGATAAGTGAGTTATCATGTTACATATTTAGAACCCCTATTTCAAATAGGATGCTTTACCATTTATTTAAGTATGTCAAGGTTGTACCTCGAGTAGAGCAACATTCAGTTTAAAGAAATCAACTCATACATTTTTTCTAGTCTTTCTTTAGAAATGGAAATAGAAAGCCTTTATTGTCATTATACAATAGTAAAATAAAATTCAGAGCTGCTCCGTCAAAGTGCAAGAATTAATTAATTAATTAATAAACAAATTAACGGTTCTCATTAAGTATGGTGACAGCTTTGGGGAAGAAGCTGTCCCTGAGTCTGTTGGTCCTAGCTGGAATTGACCTGAAGCGCCTGCCAGAAAGCAACAGGTTGAAGAGATGGAATCCAGGGTGTGTATAGTATTAAAATATGACAAACATAGACCATAATTTAACATCAAACACTTAAAAGTTGCTCTGCAAGTACATTAGAAAGGATTTTTTATCATTGATTTGATTCAAATGTGACAAAACTACCAGTATATGGGAGTGAGTAAGGGACAGCCCTTCCTTCATTATTGAATGTACTGAGGTGCTGAAAAACATTTTTAAACAGACTAAAATCAACAATCTTTGGTGGTGTGCTCAAGTCTTGTGCCTCCCAATTAAGTGGTATTTTTCAGAAAATATTTATCCAGTCTCTTGTGCTTCGTGCCTGATCTATGGAAGGAAACATTCCACTGTTGTTTCTGTGGCCAAATGCACCTACCTTAAGGATTTTAATGACTTTATACCAGTGGCACTCACCTCGCTGGTCATGAACACCTTTTGAAAAGCTGGTGAAGCAGCAGATTTTTAACCAGGTGCATAATAAGCTAGACCCAATGCAATTCCCTTATAGAACAGAAACTGAGGTGTTGAAAATGTTAAAAATGCTACACTGACCTTGTTGAAGCTACTTGTGAGGCATCTGGAAGCCCCTAAAAAACATGCTTGGCATCTGTTCATAGACTTCCCTTCAGCCTTCAATACTATCCAGCCTTATCTGCTGGCTGGGAAACTGGTCTCCCTTTTCAATTTGGATTTTAATCTTATTGTCTGGATGTTGGATTTTTTCATCATGCATCCCACAGTGTGCTGAAGTAAATGGTACCATGTCTTCAAGACTATCATTCCACTGGATCTCCACAGGGTTGCGTGTTATCGTTCTTGCTTTTTATTTTGTATACCAATGACTGCAGAAGTGCATTTAATAACAGGCACATCCTGAAATTTGCAGACACAGTAATTGTGACTCTTTTAACAGACATTGAGAGTAATCATGGACCTGTAGTGAAGGACTATTGGAGGTCCAAGAACGCTTTTATTTGTTTATTAATGTGACAAAGACTAAAGACATGCTTTCAAAAGTTACCCTCTAGTGACACTCATTCTGTTCAGGGAAAAGGAGTTTGTCTCTAAATATAAATATCTAGGGACAGTTATTGACAGTGCCCTACGCTTTGAATCGAACACTGATGCCATCTGCAAGAAATGCATCTAAGACTGTTCTTTTTAAGAAACATGAATTCATCCAAGTACTAACCACACCTGACCCTTCTGACATCTGACGGGATCAGGCTTTGACAAGCTGGTATGTCCAATATGATGAATGCTCTTATAGTCTGGATCAGTCGTGATGAAAGGTGATTACGTCTTCTGTTCTTTTTTTTTTTTGCCTTTTTTACGGGAATCTGTGTCTGCACTGTTGAGCTGTTTACTGTATGTCTGACACTGCTACACAACAATTTCCTTCTGGGACCATAATAAAGTTGAAAGTTGTGTGTCCGGAGTGACATGCTCTATGGGGAGTAATTAACAGCCGAAGTGTGTGAAGAGGTGCATGAGAGACTGGGGAAGATTCAGCTTCTGTGAGCTTTGATTTACTTGTAACAGAAGCTAAAATGGCGGCTGCAGAAAACATGGGCACCAATCTGTACCAGTGGCCTCTACCCATCACTGTAACACTTTCACAGTTACATACCAAAATGACAGAAGTGGTTCGAGTGGGATAACTTCCTATTGATCAGATGACTGCTCTTTAATGGAACCCCTAACTATCTGAATGGGAATTTAGTGACTTTCCACATGACCCATGAATGAAGTACTGCAAATAAAACAGCTTCCTTTGTCTGTTTAAAGTTAAACCATAGGTGCTCAATGAAGGACGTTTCCTGCCACTGAGAGCCATTGTCTGTGGTTTCCTTTGGGGAAATGAACTCATGTTACTGAAATATCCCCAAAAAATGTCTTCTAGTAGTGTGTCAATTATGTTTCAAGAGTACAAAAGATGTATAAATAAGAAATTATATTTATTAACATTCTTTAGCATGATCTATTCATGTGGACCTTATGTCTACATTGCACTGTGAGAGAGTGCAAAACAAAATTCATTGAAATACTGTTTTTAAGACTTCTCTCCATCTCTCTATCACTGTTCAAAAACACACATAGTGAAATAAACACATACAATACCAGTTTAAATTTCAATATCTATTTGATGTTTCAAACATGTCCTTTTTGATTGCTCTGTTATACTGGAAAATTGGCTTTAGGTTTACATGTTACTCCTTTCCAGATGCCAATGGCCCCTAGCCCACACAGCACGCCCAGGACGAGCGCAGGGGCCCCCAGAGCCAGAGCCACCGTGGTGTGGGCCCCAACAGCTATCACTACCCCGGCCAGCACCAGCAACAATGCAGCAGCAGCAGCCACACGGATATTCTTCCGCTTTACTTTTTTCTCTTTCTCGCGGTCTTTCACCTGCTGCTCTCTTTCTGCATCCCATATCTTTCTCTCTTCCTCTTTCTTCTCCTCTTCCTCCTGCTTCCTGCGCTCCTCCTCCTCCCGGAGCTTCTTCTGGGCCCTCTCATACATCTCATTGGTGTAGTGTTTACCACCATTGTCATGTACCATTTCCTTGATCATATTGATGAGCTCTGTGACCTGCACTCGGTCATCTGCGTCACAGTTGTTGAAAGCATGATACCTCCGTCCAAACGTAATTGAGAGTCTACGTAGTTCCTTGCACTCCTTCAGCGCACTGTCTGCCTTGGCCTGATCCTTGCATGTAAAAAGCATGATTGTGTACATAGAGGCATCATCTCCAAAGTTTTCCTGTATCCATTTGACGGCATTTCGTTCTTCCTCAGTGAAGCGCACTCCAAGCCTGATCACCAATAAGAATGCATGCGGTCCGGGGACGGACATTTTGACACATTCCTCTATTCGGATTTTCAGCTCCTCCTCTGTGATGGCGGTGTCAAACAGGCCTGGAGTATCGATCACCTGCACCGTCGTCCCGTCAACCTCCCCGCTTTCGGTCTCACAGTGTTTGGTCACAGAGACAGGGCTGGGGTCCTCCCTGAAAGCAGCTCTCCCAAGAATAGTGTTTCCTGTGGCACTCTTCCCTGATCCAGTCTTACCCACAAGAACTATTCGGAGTCCTCCTGACAAGTCCAGACCTGTATTGGAAAAATATACAATATTATATCTTATGTACAACTGATAGTGACTGATAAGATATCCTAATACATTAAATATACTTAATATAGGTTACTGGTATCACAAACGTACTGCCTAACTTGACTCAGTTCATCTATGGTACTTTAGCCAAAATACAAGGCTGGGCATTCAAATCAACTAACAAAAGACATTCAAATACCTTCAAAGTTGCCTTCAGTTTGTGGTAGTGTGCGCTGTTTCTTCTCTCGCAGAACGATTGCTGTGTATTCAAATTCACAATCAAAAAAAGAAAATCACGAGCGATGATATTGACGAGTATTTTAAATTTAGCTTACCTTCAGCCATTGGGTCTTATTGATCTTTATCCCAATTTCTCCAAGAAAAAGTGAGCTGCTCCACATCAGTGCTGCAGGTTTACCATGGGCGCTGTCCCTCTGCTTCTACACTCATTGCAGGGAAACTTCTGGAAGCCCGCCTGGTCTTTGCCGAGTGGGCTTCCTATTTCCTTGCATTGTCTTATACATCTGAGCAGTGACCACTGTATTTGCCCACAGATACAGCCCCCTCCCCAATATAGACACAGCTCACTTAGAACAGCTGGTCACCAGATTAGGCATTTGAGTGGATATTTTCATAAAAAAGATTTATAATATAATAGTAGATCGGCACTTAACCTACACTAAAACTTTCTTTCTTCTTCTTTCTATAATTGATTTGATAGGTTTTCATATTTCACATTTGATGATAAATATATTGTCTCCCAAGCAAAAAAAAACAAAAAAAACACTTGAGTGACATACTTGTATTTTAATATTCTAAATTAGAGGTGAACTATGCAACTTTTCTGGTGAGGGGTCTGCCACCTGCTTGTCTCCTCCTTGGAGACAAGCAGGTGGCAGAGCAGGTGCTCCACACAAAGCCATACTGCATTTTATCCTGAAATATAACATGAAAGCATTCTCACAGTGAATGAGATCACCTCTCCACAGATCTGATCTGTAACGCCCCTTAAATCATCCCAGAGGAATGTTCAACCATACATTTTATAGGCATAGTAATTTTACATTTTATAGAAGATAGATTACTATATATATATATATATATATATATATATATATATATATATATATATATATATATATATATATATATATATATAAACTACAACAACAATTCAAAAGCAATGTCTGATTTTCAATAATATATAAAAATTAACTGAAAAATAGTCAATGAAAATCAGACATTGCTTTTGAATTGTTGTTCAATGGAATAAACAAACAAACAAAACAAAAAAAAATAATGGTACTCCTAGAAAGGATTGAAGGATTGGACAATAGGACAATAGGACAATATTCAATGTATGTATGTTCTCTAATTGGCATCATAGGTGTCTTTAAACTTGTACTCAGTCAGTCTCCCTATTTAAAGGCTGTCATTGTAAATGTTGTCATTGTGCTGTTTGGAGACATGATGGATACAATACTGAACATGGACCAAAGAAAGTGAAGAAGTCTCCTGTGTCAGGAGACTAGAAAGAAAATGATAGACAAGCAGGTTAAAGATAAAGGCCATAAGACCGTCTCCAAGCAGCATGGCCACAACATAAAAATGTATTACAACCCGAAGAGATGGATCACACAAATGGTAACCAAAGAGTCCAGAACAACCTCCAAAGAAATGAAATGTCAACTTGAAGGGCAAGGTTCATCTGTGTCAGAGTGCACCATCCATCACTGTTTGAGCCAAAGTGGACTTCAGGTGAGGCCAGATGAGACAAAACTGGAGCTCTTTGGCAAGGCACATCAGCTCTATGTTCACAGATGCACACTAAGGAAAGAACACTGTCCCTACTGTGAAGCATGGAGGAGGCTTCTGGGGCTGTTTTGCTGCATCTGGCACAGGTTGTCTTGAATCTGTGCAAGGTACAACGAAATCTCAAAACTATTAACATATTTTGGAACGAAATGTGTTGCCTAGTGTCAGAATTGTTCTTCTCTGAGCCCAGATCTCAGTCCTATTAAACATCTGAAAGGAGTTGAAACATGCTGTCTGGAGAAGGCACCCTTCAAACCTGAAACAACTAGAACAGTTTGCTAACATGGAGTAGGTCAAAATACCAGTTGACTTCTGCAGAAGTCTCATTGACAGTTACAGAAATCGTTTCATTGCAGAGTTTGCCTCAAAAAGTTGTGCAACAAAATATTAAGTTATGGGTACCATCATTTTTGTCCAGGCAAGTTGAATTATTTTGTTTTTTCAAATGACTGTGTTGAACCACAGGTGAAAGGCAATGTTTGATTTTTGTTGGACAATTTCAGTGATGAATGCTGATTTTTCTTTCATTGCCAGAGGGGTAACAATTTTGTCCACGGCTGTATATATTAGATAATTATTTAAAATATTATTTAAAGTCCAGAGTTTTTCCAAGCAGACTTAAAACAGTTAAAAACCTTAGGGCCCATGGCACTACATACCGGGATCAACCAGGGTTTAAAAATTCCCCCAAGAAAACACCCAGCAAATGTAGAAAGTACATATTTACACCATTCATCTTCAAGTTTTATCTGCGCTGCCTTGTACATCTCATTGGTGTAGTGCTGTCCTCCATTCTCCTGCACCATCTTTTCAATCTTCACCAGGAGTTGCTCTACCTGGACCCTGTTCTCTGGATGTTTGTTGTTTAAGGAATGGTATCTTCCACCACATTGGTTTTTAAGTCTACGGAGATTCACACTCTCACTAAGATACTGCTCCAAAGTCTTGTCCTCCAGCAGGTCTGTGTGAGTGAACAGTAGTATTGTGTACATTGAGGCATCTGAACCAAAATTTTCTTCAATCCACTTCACAGCTGCTCTCTCTTCTTCTGTGAATCTGGCCTTGACACTGATCACCAACAAAAAGGCATGAGGTCCAGGAACAGACTGGACAATTACACAGTTCTCAATTTCATTTTTCAGTTCTTCGTTTGATTTGCGGGTGTCAAAAAGCCCTGGAGTGTCAACGATGGTAATGAGTCTACCATTGTGATCTTTTTCTTCTGCCCTTTGGCAGTTGTTGGTCACAGACTCTGCAGATGTGTTCGTTCCAAAGACATTCTTGTGAAGAATAGTGTTTCCAGAAGCACTCTTTCCTGATCCCGTTTTACCAACCAAGATCAACCTCAGACCTTCAGACCAGATATCTAGAAACATAGTTAAGACCATAAGTGATAAGCAACAGGCAATAATAATACAGAACTTATCAACATTGCTTGTTTATCAGTGTATGACTTGGTCCAAGGTACTAATGGTATGACTGAAATAGATTTACATTATTTATTTTTTATTTTATTTTTTTCAGTCCACGAATTCAATACTCAGATATTATACGATATTAAAACAATTATTGAAACTAGTCTGTGATCTTGTCTTCAACATCTGTTTTGTTTGGTTATCTGACAGTGGCTAGCAAGAACAGGTTCAACAGAACAGCAAAGAACTACGGGAAGATCATTGGTAAACAGCAGATGCAATGGGCGCTCCTGCACCAGCCAGCTGTGAGTTACTAGTGATGTTGATGTTAATGCCTCAGGGTGTTAGTACTAAATGCCTTTAGCAACAAAAATGGTTTATAATAGATCATTGTGCCACTTCTTTGTAGTGAACATTTGGTTGTTGTTCTTGTGATGGTGAACCAAAGACAAAGTTCCACTAGGCATTACAGTTTAAGTCAAGTTATGGTTACGCTGAACAATTAAAGAAACTATTATTATAATTTAATGATATAGTGCCGGTACTAATACAATGTCAGTCCCCCTTACTTGTTTGAACATCTTTATGAGGTATTTTAAAACATGTGGTCATACTTGTCACCATGTATATCATCAATTGAAAAGGCTGGGGTTAATTCAATAGATGTCAAAATTTGTATTTAATATCAAGCTTGTGTCTTGTTTTTACAACACCAACTCTGAGAGCTTGAGAAGGTCATGGGGGGCATTATTTAGTTACATTCACAAATTCTATGTCATAGTTAGTTTTAGTTTCAGGAAGCAGTGCATGTGGTAGTTTTATATTCAAATCTGATAAGAGTGACTCAGCATCTCAGCCTGGTTATCCGTTTCACTTTGTCCATGAAGTCCCTTGGAGGGTCCCTAACTGCATTCTATTGCAATGTGTTGAATTACACCGTTTTATTCTAAATCATTTGGAAAAATGGTCACTTACCAGACTGAGCAGTGCAGGTTGTGATTAGGAACAGCAGGATGTGTGGGATCCCCAAGTGAGACATGTTGTCTTTTCTGTGATGCTTGTAATGACACGATGTTGCGTTACCTGTTCTGTGTATTTACACTCCTGGGTTTATGACACACCCACAGTGAAAGCAGCTGTAGTTGGCTGGTTTAAAAATGTGCAATAATACCACCAAACTATTGATTTTCAGACCAGATGTTTTCATTTTCAATATTTTTTGGACAATTCTGCTTGTTTACTATTAGAATGTGGTCATAAAAACACTCAACTCATATTGAAGCTCTTGTTCTTATTAAACAAAATTTAACAAAAACAAACAAAGTAACACCCTTAGAGTTGCTATATGTTGCCATTCTGTCCTAAATGTATAAGTAAATCTGATAATGTGACCATAATGGCTTGTGGAACGCCTGATCTCATCAGATGGCACAGATTTGCTGCCTTTCTTTCTTCAGTCTGCCCCACGGCAGCTGTGGCTATAAAAAGCATCATCTAGTGTGGAGTGAGTGAATGTAAAGTGCTTTGAGTGTTTGAAAGGTGCTAAATACATCCAATACATTAATATCAGAACATAAATCTATTGTGAGAAAACAATGGATATGGATAATTATTGTTTAATTAGTTTATTTAGTATATTAAACTGGTCTGAGTGACTTGGCAAATTTAAGCTATTAATCATTTATCATATACTTTCATCATCTTGGACCTGAAAGGCCACAGTGAAGACAGCTGATTATCACCATAAACTTCATTAAATTTAAGTGTAGTAACAAAAAATATCAGTTATTAAAAGGCTTAACGGAATGAAAGGAATACTGTCCTAAATGTTAAGAAGTAAAAAAGAAAGAAAGAAAAGTTTAATCTAAAGCTTTAAATCTATTTTTTTTATTTTCGATGACGTTGAAAAGAGACAGTTTCATTTAGCTGAAAACGTAACCCAGCAATAGTGATGGAGTAATGGCACCATCTAGTGCACGGGTGCCCGTGGATCGCGATCTACCAGTCGATCGCCAAGGTCGTGTGGGTAGATCACCGTGTCTCGTCTCGGACTCGCGTTTGGACTCGGTCTTGTCTCTCACTCAAGGTCTGACACTCAACAAGTGCGATCATATTTCATTACGGCCGCTGCTGTTGGCAATAAACTTGTACTGGGGTGCAGGAGCATGTGGGGCGTCTCAGTGCAGCCTGTGCACTCATTTGAAACCCGCGGAGACTCTACGGCACATCACAAATACACACGCTCCCTATGCACGGCTTGTCTGCAACAGCGTGTACCCTCGTGTACCAGCGTGCATCACAGGGCAGGTTAAACTTCCTACACAT